GAATATGGGCTGATGATGATGATGATGATGATGATATTACAATAAATATAATCGACTTCAAATTAAAAAAAAATATAAATAATACTTATTTTAAAAGCGGTAATTTTAATTCTGTAATTTATTAAATATTAATCGCCCGACTCAATGTTTCTTGAAAAATTTGGACCACCCTTTTCACTTAGATAACAACTTATTCTCAGACTTAGTGAACATAAATATAAAAAAATTCATCAAGATCGGTTTGGAAGAGAACGGTAATTAACTTTATATATTAAAAGATTTTATGCATATTTTATTTATAGATATATTAAACGTAATTTAATACTTTAGTTTTAAAACTAACAACATATTAAACCAAGTCAGTTTTGTATCTGTGAAAAACAAGATGGAAAATGATCTCTTATGACTAAAAGGTTAAGTACTAGTGCACTGGTGTTGAGTGGAAAAAAATGTGCTTGTTTTCCTTACGGTTTTTTTATTGAAAAATAAATATATTTATGATATTTCGCATTTAAATATTAATATTGATAATTCACAATTTATTTTTATATTTATTAACAATTTTAGTTTAACTAGTAACTAGTTTCGTTTTTTTACATTGAATAATCTTCGAAATTAGGATTGATTTCAAAAATTCAATTCGCCTACGGGAAGACACGTAATACGCGGAGGCACATGATATAATTTGCGGGAGCTGGTTATATACATATATGTAATAAAACACTATTTAAATTTTCGTAATAGTATTATTTGTCCCAATTGAATTTATTTTATTTAATTAAAAAGCGTGCGTGTGTTAATCACAAAGTAACAACAATATCTGTCATAGTTCATATGATAAGTCATAACTGAACTAATAATAATAATAACACTTTATTGTCACACCATTTTACAGTTAAAGTTTTGAACATGAAATTTGCAAATTAAATACAACACAATAGCGTAGCAATTGGCGGTCTTATCGCTAACAGCGATTTCTACCAGACAACCTTTACTACCAGAAAACCTAATATATATCAGACGAAAATTGCAACGCAAAAAAAAATAGATTGAACAACCATTACTATTGAGATACCATTATTACAATGAATACGTTAAAATAAGCAGAATTGAAGCCCAATTAGATCGTGTTATAAAAGTGTTTCCCCGAGTTGTTCTGTATAGATTGCCACTGCAATGATCCTTCTGTGCTATAATTATTTCTACATAGGAAAAATATTTCCATTATTTCCACGAATACTATATCAACTCGCCATAATTAACTGCCGTACGTCGGCCACTGTTGAGCGTAGGTCTTCCCCAAATATCTCCACGTCGATCGGTCGATCTTTATAAGATCTTCGGTCCACTTGGTAGAGGGCCTACCCACTGTGCAAAGTGTGGTGCACTGCGCGGTCACTATTCCGGTGATTAAACAATTCTGCTAAAGATAGCGTATTTATGGAAATTCAGTAGCGCTTCAGCTATAACCCCTTAGTCACAGTTCTTTTTACTAGATCACAAAATAATAAATGTATCTGTCACCATTCATTTATAAGGAAGACATTCCAATATATTGGACTTAAGGTAAATAGATCTATTAGTTGATTATAAGTTAGTGTCTATTAGTTTGATATCTATTTTTATAGTCACTAATATAAAAATATAAGTTACGTGTTAGGAGCGTCGAAACATTAATGTGTCTCCGCTTCTTTTTTGTTTCAAGACAACACCTTCACAAAGCTGTTTCTAGATTTAGATAAAGCCTTTTTTATAGCTTCTAAAATGTTATTCAAGGTTTTTTTACCTTTCAAAAGTTTTGTTTTGTTATCCTAGCCGAATGTGTTGCATAATAGAATTATTATTTTGACATTTACATTATACGATATTGTCTACGGTCAATATTGTGTTTCAGCACAGCTTAATATTGCATCGATATTGATGATCTTCGATTGTGGATTGTTGGCATTATATTTCATTTTAAGTATGTCGCAGCCAACAGTAACGAAACAAGGCCTATTCCATTTCTCCGGAAACAAAATTATTAATGCTAATACGATTCCAAAGAAACGCGTTTTTCGATAATTTATGATGCAACGGAGGTAGGACCTGACACTGCCTCTGATGCACCGATAATCTTCACGGATAAGGTTTTAAATATATAAATATATTTCATTTACGATTCGAAATGTTCCCAATTTACGTTCGAGCGCAATAGCCCTCAGGTGTCATGTTAATTCGTAAAAGTAATTATAACGTTTTGTGTTGCGTTGTATGTTAAATATTAAAAAGAAGATCTCGATTAAAGCTTTCGCTGTATACTTGATATATGAATACTTATCTTGGTTTAGTTTATTGCATACGGGAAACACTTGCGGACTGTTTATTGACTGCGCTATTGTCTATTTATTAGTCGCTATCCCAACTTACGGTTGGCCACCATTACGTATAAAGACTATAGTCTTTTTCACATAACATCACTCTATTCCAATTTTGAATTATAAACTCATTAATTACAGTTTTCAAATTTTCAAAAATCGAGCAGTCTGTTATATCATGCTGGCTAGAAATAGCTAGTCATGTCATTGTTACACAATTCTAAATTTAAATCAAATATGGAACAGATTGTGATATCATGGCTATAGTCTTTTTCGCATAGTATGGTACACATACTGTGATACTACGGTGACGTTTGGTATTTGAAATTTTTAGCGATGTGGTAATAAAAATATTTATATATAAAAAATCGTTATAATTCAGTTCATTTCTATTAGTGATAATCGATTTTGAGGTCAATGTAAAAAACAGGATTTAGGAAAGAAACATATTTATTCACAATATGAACCCGAGTCAGAAAAAATAAAAAAATATTATAGTTAAATTTAATTATAACGGCAATAATAATTAAAAAATTTCAAATGATTACCGCATACACATTTTATTGATGCAATCCATATAAAAAAGAAAGTTCAAATTTTCGTAACAAGTGTTGATGTTTTAAACTTTAGAGGGTAAGAATTCAGTAACTATGACTATTAAAGATTTATTTGTGTATTATTAATAATAACTATATTTGGCCATAAATTAGTAACATATAAAGCATACCCATTTATTTATATTTCACTAAAATTATAAATACACCATACTTATAGGTAACATCCATCACCGAACTAGGTTTTCGACCTGAAACATCGGTATCTGGTGCCTCTAACCTCAGGACATATACAGATGTATATATTTTTTTATTTGTTTCAATGTTACATTTTAATAAAAGCTTTCTTGGTAAACTATGCCGTGTTCTAGGTTAGTAAAGATGCTTATAATAATAGTATTCTTACTATTAATATTTCTTACTTCATTCTAATTCTCGTCTATTGGTTAAAAATTTCTGCTTATGCTATGACATACGTATAATAAATACTTCTTACGACTATAGATACGAAAGTAAGATATCAACCAAGTTATCGATTAATAAGCTTAATGCCTCAAACTCAATGGTCGATAAGGACCGCATGCGAGGTGTGGACGAATTCTGTACCATATTTTCATTGGTCATTGTTTTGACAATCAATAAAATGAACCAATAGAAATTTCCCACACGTTGCGTCCTGTGGCCCAATGTAAATGTTAATAAAATATCTATCATCACAAAAGTCCTATTATTATGAAACTAAATAAGCTTTATTTTACACTTTATAATATATTACCTACACCTTCTGACATCTATGTCAATTATTATCTTCTAAATGTATCATACGTAAAATTTAAATAATCACTTGAAATTTTACTCAATTATTTTTGCGATTCTCACTTTTATACAGATTTTATAGAGAGGTAATTGTATTTTTAAAAACACTGTTATGTCTGAAGTAATGTATTAAAATGAATAAAACAGTCAGTCTTTTTTAACTTTTACTTGGTCATACACTTTAATTTGAAAAACAAACATTGGTAGATTTATGGGATACTTAGCTTTGCATCGAAAACGTTGAATAGCAAGCGGCGTTCGCCATATTAGATAATGACGTCACTTTGTTTATCGTATTCTGCTTATCCTTTCATTTTATAACCATATTTAGGGGTTACCACAGACTAAGAAGAAGATACTAGGTATGGTTACTAAAGAAATTATAAGTCATTTTTCAACATGGAGGTTACATTTTACTGTAACCGCCATGTTGGAAATTTTGATTCGAAAGACAAATTCAAGATATTTTCCTTTGATTTGTTTAATATTTATAATTTCTTATAATAATAACTGTGCAGAGGGCTGATGAAAATCCTGAAGATCATAGCCTTGAATAATTAAGCAATAAAAATTATATAATGTTAAAATAGGTACATGCTCGCTTAGTTAAATCTTTTGTGTAGTTAGTTACTCATTTTGAAAGAAGGATTTAACTAATGGATTTAAATCGAAATTTAAAGAGTAAATACAAAGATGGCTATCTGAAGATAGGATATAAAATATAGGTATTTTGATGTTGATCTCTCAGAAATATTAATTCCACTCTTAAACGGTGCAAAATAGGTCACCTTATTAAACTGTGAAATTTATGAATACCTTATATTAGATTATATAAGACACCCGTCTTATATATGGGGTATTAACGCGATAGATTTCTATAGTTAGGTTTTTTACCTACCTGATATACCTGTTTTATTTCATATAAAAAAAAAACAATCTTTAAGTTAGTGAATTTTTTAGCTGAAATATGTGCAGCATAAAGAATTGATGAAATATAATAAATAGTATCTAATTATTCATTGCAGTTCGATGTACATAATTAAACGAACTGTATGCAACGTGTCTGCTACGCAGCCAACACGACAATGCATCACAACCTTATTCAAACCCCAAATTCAAAACCTGAAATCCTTCGTGATGATCGCCAATTATACAATAAAAAGAAGAACGAGCCAATTTTGCAACGCCAACCCTGAGACACCGGCATTATAGAAAAAAAAAGAATGCCCCCCCTCTACGGCCATTATAAACTCACCACTCACTCCCCGCCCGTGATTGTAGCATAAATCCGAGAGGGAACAAGAGCCTCAACTCAGTCGTGCCGCGCGGTCGCACGTGAGCTGTCAGACGGGAAAAAAACGCGCGAATTTTGACGTTTTACTTTTTTTTATCAAAAGTCGCGGCTTCAGCACTTAGCACAATGAAGTACTTGGTTGTCCTCGCGGTGTTCGCTGTGGTATTCGCGGCTGAAGAGACGAAAGAGGAAGAGAGACCGAAGACATTCAGGAGGCTGATCCCGGCTGACGTTTTAAGAGGTCAGTGATTGAATGTTAAATGGAATGAAATGTACACCTGAAAGTTTATAAAACTTTTCAAAATGTAGTCATCTAAAGTAGCCAAAGGAAAGAACTAAAAAGCTTTTATTTCAAATTACAAGTGACGATGTTAATGATATTTTGAAAAAAGAATAGTAAAGAAAGAAATGGGTTAAGATGATCATATTATAATGCCAATACAATACATAAAAAATATGATTATCTGAATTGATTATATTATATTAAAATATATTTAGACACATTGTCAATTTTATAAGAATTATAATGAAGAAATTTGCTAATTAATTCGTAAACATTTGATTTTAGTAATGACCGGCACGAAATTATTCATAATGCAATTTGTGTACGATTTTTTTTCGGTGCAATAACCTATTTGCTACGTTGCGTGCGTTCCGTTTCATTAATATTCGTTTATAGACAAAAAATGTCCACACTGAAAAGAAAAACATCGAAAATTCAATCAATGAAATAATTTGTTCAATTTTTGATGCAAATACTACGAAACCTTTGAGAAAGGTGAAACGTGTTAATATTAAGACATAATTGATATGCGTTTATATTCATAATAATTTGAACATGTTTTATTGAAATTCGATACATTAATATAATTATGATAAAATAATCAAAATTAATTTTGAAAATGCCTATATTTAAAAAATAACTAATAAATTCGTCAAAATCTGTAGAGTCGTTTTTGCGACACGATGTAACGAACCCCAAAATGTTGTTTGACGACTTTTTGAAACGGTTTTCATGTAGTCCATGTAGAGATGTTAGATTCTCGTCCCGCATAGAATAATGTAATTGCAAATTAGGCTAATTCTGATCATCACTCTATAATCAGAATTAAAATAAATATAAACTAAATAGAGCTTGGATTTTTTATGTTATCCATAGTCCCAAACAATAAAAGGAATACTACACTATTCTATACTATAATATCCTCTTAATAATATTATTGCGAAAGTTTGTAAGCATCTATGTATGTTTGTTACTCTTTAACGCAAAAACTACTGAATGAAATTTGTTGCAATTCGGTATACGAATAATTCTAAGCCTGAATTAATAAATAAGTTTTTTCTCCCACTAAACGATAGAGCTAAAGCCGCTGGCGGAAAGATAGTAATGATTATAATTTTTTTATCATGGAAGGAATAAATATTCCTTATTGGACTTTAAAATTGTAAAACAGAAGTAGGTAAATGGTATGTTAAATACGAAATGGTTTTTCCTGCTTCTTATTATCAAGAAAGAAAGAAAAAACACATCATTGGATGAATCAGTTCTTTGTTGTAGGTACCGAATATATTTATCCTCATACTCGGTCGAAAATTCGGAAAATTTCGAAATTTACCTGATTCTACCTCCGTTGCATCATAAATTATCTAAAAATGCGTTTCTTTGGAGTCGTTTTAACGTTTCGAAAAAGTTTCGTTTTTAGGGATATAGAATAGGGCTTAATGTGTCATGTTGACGTGTATGAGTATTACGTTGCAGGGTTTATTCATTTAATAATGAACTATAAAATACATAATAATATTTTTTCTGTAGTATATAAATTAAATATTAAACATTAAAAAAATAATTACGAAAACTCGTACGAAATTAATAAATAATAACTACTAAAATGTTTAGTAGAAGTTTTTAACTTGTTCTTTGATAATTAAGTAATTAATGTACTTTCAAGCGATTAGGCAAGGTTGGTTTTATAAATTAGTTGCAGACTTTTAATTTGACGTGAAACAATGATTTGTTTTGAACGTAGATAATGACCGCGCGAGAGATGCAGTTTCGATTTCCGTAAAACGCGGAACACAAAATTAAGCCGTTCTAAACTTTCATTCCAGAATAGAGATTTCTGATGTAAATTACATTTGATTCAGCAATGATAATTTAAAATTCTGAATAGTCACTTTAAGTAATTTTTTTGCATACATGCATGTACTTTCATATTTATAGTTTCGAATAATTTCTAATGATTATTTTATTGATGATATGCATGTGGGGTAAATATATATGCATCGGGCATATGTTGTAGATCTATTAACTTTCAAAATTATGTGGTGTGTTTGGATGAGGGCATTTTTTGACGACGTCACTCTTGTAATTTTATTTAATTGAGGTTTTAAATGTTCAATGTCGATAACTTATTAATATTTTATTTTTAAAATCTTTCAAATATATATATTTGTTTAATTTAAGTGCCAAATTATATGAACATTACAAAAGAAATCTTAGAGAAATTAAGTGGCGTCAAACATAATGTGGATAAAAGATAAAATGCTACGATAAAATACTTTGGATTATCTGGGTTTCCTGGCGTATATAGCGAATTTTTCTGTGATAATATATCACAGTAAAAATAATAATTAATATAGTCCATGTGTATTATCCATATTTGAGAGTGGTTTTGATAGTTGTTATAAAAACAACAGCAAATGTATATTGGCAAAAAAATTAGCTTTGCAAGTAGAACAAGAGTAACTAGGTGACGTAGTGGATAAGCGTTGCGGCCCGCGATCGTTTTTAATAAACAACCTCCGCAAGGGTCGGTTACGGGATGGGTGACCAAAAAATATTATCAAGAACTACTCCGTGCTACTGAAGGCACGTTAAGCCGTTTATCCTGGCTTCATTTGCTGTCATTAATACACTTTATTGCACCAACGTGAAGTTTTCACTTCATGACCAATCCTCCTTCCATTGTGTTGGTCGATGGGTTGAGCCCCTGCAGTGGTAAAAGAGCTGATGATAATGATGATGAATGTATTCCATTTTGGGCACAGGCCTTCGCTATGTATAGAGTCATAGGGAGAACGGTCCCAGTACGGATTTGAGTGTGTTAACAATTACAAATGCATCAAGAACCAACGGCTTACCCTGCCTTCCGAAACAAGGAGTAGCTCGTTAATAAATTTTTGGTCACCCATCCCATGACCTTTGCGAATATTAATGAATGTTACTCTGCATCGCAAACCGGACGAGGTTGCGCTGTCGAGCTTATCACTTTATACGGAGAAGTTCTTCTAGGCCAAATAAATATATTGCAAAAGTCAGACTGTTTGTTCGTTAATTAATTTTCGAAAATATGCCGATACTTGTCATGTTTTTGACAATTACCAGATCAACTGGATTTAGTGTCTGTGTTTTTGTATGATTACTAAAAGTAATAATAAAATGTGAAGTGATTGGCTTGCTGTATTTCGCCACGTATATAAAATGTGAGTAAATCGTACAAATACTTTTTTGGTGAATAATTCTTAAATAATCTTTTTGTAGATAAAAAGAAACAAATTTTGAATTCGGAATGATATATTGCTAAGTATGTGTAATATTAAATTCTAGAAAAAAGTTCTATAATGCGTTATTCTTAAAAACATAATAAATATGCTTTTATATAGACAAAGTCGTAGGCTGCAAGGTATAAAATTGGCTTTCGAAGGCGTCCGTTGATTTATTAGGACAGTTGCTTCATTGCCGCTACGGAAATATTGCAACATTAGGCACTCATTAGTGCAAAACGGAATCGCAATCAATAGGCTTGATGGCATCCATGATAGGATGGCTGTTTCGTAAAAATAGAGGTTTTTCGTAAAAATTGTAACCATGGCTGAAGGCCACAGTAGCCAGAGAGATAAAACAATAAAAGATGCAATTCTATATTCAAATGTACTCGAATTCTCTATTACAACATTTCTCACATTATAAATTTTAAAATTTTGATTGCCGATTAAAAATTTTACAAACTCTTTTCAATAATGTTGTAATCGTATGTATATTCTAAGTCAAATTGTATACTGTACAAATAAATAACAAACTATAGATAATGGTAAAACCTTTTTTTGTTTCACGTCAGAAACATTCACCCTCTTATTAGAGCGAAATAATACCGTTCCTATTTTAAAAGTTTTTATCCTTTTATGAATCTGACAGGTCCGAGCATAGAGTACTTATGTTTTAATTTACTGGTACACTGGCATTGCGACCATGGTCCACTAAAAAGTTTAAGGTGAACGAATCTCGCATCAATTTTGTAAACCAGTTATGTACCGAAAGAGGTTTTATATCGTCCGAGGAGTCATTGGCACATCCGTTATGAGGAAAAAAACCTTAAAACATAAAATTACAATCGGCAATTAGCTATTAAATGTAACTGCATTTGAGTAGCATAATTTAGTTAAGTACCTAGTCGTAGAACTTTTTATACAAATGATTGATAGACGTACTAATGTATTTTTTGTATTCGTTTTTAGTTTTGGATCCATAAATAATATTGAGCCAAACGGTATTGAAATGTTATAATACTGGCTTAAGTTAATAAATGCGTTTTTGATTAATTTTTATACGAATGGAACTACATATAAGACCTACTTTTGTAAATTTACAGCTGTTCAAATAGACACAAGGCAAATGTGTTTAAGCTTAGCCATTTAAAAGCTCAGATAGATTTAAGATCTAGAACATTCCAAGGCTGCAATGCACCATTCACTTGTAGTTCAATTTATTACAATATTGCCATGACTCACTATTTTTACAGGTAGTGATTCGAATGTTATATACCAACATAATAATAAGGACATCAGGAAATGAAACCTTCGTGATGAAAGGAATTGCTGTGGTTAGCACCTTTTTTGTATTAAAGAAATAAATGAGATTCTATTTTTAAACATATTAAACATTTTATTAACAGCTCGCAAGCAACCACGCTGCTACAAATAAGAAACTCATTGTTTATTATAAAAAAAACCATACTTGACCATACTTTATACGTGGAGAAGTTGTGACAGACTAATGCTTCTTTGTGAAGATTTATATAAAAGGAACTTAAATAAATTATCATGTAAACGACTTTTCTTGTTTTCTCGTTGAATTTAAAAGTTAATGTCCGATGGACTATTCGAGGTTTCAAATTATTTGTCTAAATTATATAATATCACATAGTTTTTGACCAGTGTGTGTTGCCCGTGATGAGTTACGGA